TGTATGAGTATTCTATATATTTTGGAAATTAACCCCTTATCTAATGTCTCACTGGCAATTGTGCTCTCCCATAGAGTGGGTTCCTTTTCCATTTTGATGCTTATTTCTTTTGCTCTGCAGAAGCTTTTTAGTTTGATGTAGTCCCATGTATTAATTATTTTCTTTGTTTCACTTGCCTTCAGCATTGTATCAGTGAAAATTCTGCTGCATGTAATGTCTGAAGTTTTGTTGCCTACTTTTCTTCTAGGATTTTTATGGATTCACCAGTCACATTTAAGTCTTTTATTCATTTTGAGTTTATTCTTGTGTATGATGTAAATTTGTGGTTTAGTTTTATTTTTTGCATGTAGCTATTCAATTTTCCCAACACAATTTATTAAATAGGCTGTCTTTATTCCAATGCATGCTCTTGCTACCTTTGTCAAATATTAATAGAGCAAAATGTCTTGTCATTTTCTTTCTTTGTAGTGTCTTTGTCTGGTTTTGGAATTAAAATTATGCTGGCCTCATAAAATGTGTTTGGAAGTCTCCCTTCTTCTTGAATTTTTTGGAATTGTTTGAGGAAAATGGATGTTAGTTCTTTGAATGTTTGGTAAAACTCCCCCGTGAAGCTGTCAGGGTCTGGGGTTTTGTTTGCTGGGAGAATCTTAATTACATTTTCAATATTTTTAGTTGTTATTGGTCTGTTCAAGTTTTCTATCTCTTCCTGGTTCAGTTTTGGGAGATTGTTTCAAAAAATTTGTCCATTTCACCTAGATTATTCAATTTGTTGGCATATAATTATTCATAGTAATTGTTAATGATCCTTTGTATTTCTGTGGTGTCAGTTGTTACTTCCTTTTTGTTTCTGATTTTGTTTATTTGGGTCCTCTCTCTTTGTTTTTTGGTGAGTCTAGCTAAGGGTCCATCAATCTTGTTTATCTTTTCAAAGAACCAGCTCTTTGTTTCATTTATCTTTTGAATTGTTTTTTAGTCTCTATGTCATTTATTTCTGCTCTGATCTTTACTATTTCTTTCCTTCAACTTTCTCTGGATTTTTCTTTTTTCTTTCTAGCTCTTTAAGTTTTAACAGTCAATTAGAAATTTTTCTTGTTTCTTGAGGTAGGCCTGTAGTGCTATGAACTTCCCTCTCAGGACAGCTTTCACTGTGTCCCATAGATTTTGTGTTGTTGTGTGTTCATTTTCATTGGTTTCCAGGAAGGTTTTAATATCTACCTTGATCTCCTTGGTAACCCATTCATTGTTTTATAACATGCTATTTAGCCTCCATGTGTTTGAATGTTTTTGTGTGTTTTTGTTGTAATTGATTTCTACTTTCATGCCACTGTGATCTGAGAAGATGCTTGATATGATTTAAATTTTCTTGAACTTGTAGAGACTTAGTTTGTTTCCTAACGTATGGTCTATCTTTGAGAATGTCCCATGTGCACTTGAGAAAAACATGAATTCTGCAGTTCTGAGGTGTAATTCTCTGTAGATATCTATTAAATTCATTTGATCTGGTTCATCATTTAGAGTCACTGTTTCCTTGTTAATTTTTGTCTAGAGGATCTATCCAGTAATGTCAGTGGGGTGTTGAAATCCCCTGCTCTGATTGTATTGCTGTCGATTTCTCCTTTGAAGTCCTCCAGAAGTTTTTAAATGTATTTTGGTGCTCCTATATTGGGTGCATATATTTTTACCAAGGTTATATCTTCCTGTTGGATAGATCCTTTCAGTATTATGTAGTGGCCTTCTTTGTCTCTAGTTATGGTGTTCATTTTGAAGTCTATTTTATCAGATATGAATATTGCTACCCCAGCTCTTTTTTCCTATTTGTTTGATTGGAAGATTTTTTTCCATCCCTTCATGTTCAATCTATGTGAGTCTTTTGTTATGAGATGGGTCTCTTGTAAACAACATATATATGAGCCATGCCTTCTTATCCAATCAGCTTCTCTAGATCTTTTGATTGGAGTGTTAATCTATTTATAGTTAAGGTGATTATTGATATATACTTATTTATTGCCATTTTTGTTTAGTGTGGTTATATTTTTCTTCCCATTTCTACTGCTAATTACAGCAGTCCTTTTAACATTTCTTGCAGTGCTGGTTTGGTGCTAATGTATTCCCTTAGCCTTTTTTTGTCTGGGAAGCTCATTATTTGATCTTCTATTTTGAATGATAACCTTGCTGGGTAGAGTAGTCTTGGATTCAGATCCTTGTTTTTCATTACCTTGATTACTTCATGCCATTCCCTTCTGGTGTGTAGTGTTAGTGTTGAGAAGTCAGCTGATAGCTTTATGGGGGTTCCTTTGTAGATAACCTGTTGCATATATCTTGCTGCACTTAGGGTTCTCTCTTTTTCTATAATTTTTGGCATTTTAATTATTATGTGTCTTGGTGTGGGCCTATTTGGGTTCTTCTTACTTGGGGCTCTCTGTGCTTCTTGTCTTGTATGCATTTTTCCTTCACCAAGTTAGGGAAGTTTTCTGTCACTATTTCTTCAAATATATTCTCTCACCTTTGCTCATTTTCTTCTTCTTCTGGAACTCTTATGATGCAGATGTTGTTATGTATGCAGTTGTCCCACAGTTCTCTTAGACTGTCTTCCTCTTTTTAAATTTTTTTTTTTTTCTTTTTGGTTTTCCGATTGGGAGATTTTTTTCTACCCTGTCTTCTAATTCACTGACCTGGTCTTCAGCTTCCTCTACTCTGATGGTTATTCCTTCCAATGTGTTCTTTATTTCTGCTATGTCATTCTTCATTTACACTTGGTTGGTTTTCAATCCTTTTATATTTTCACTCATTCTGTTGAGCTTCCTCATGATTATTACTCTGAACTCTCCTTCTGATATCTTACTCATTTCCCTTTCATTTATTTAATCTTCAGTCAAATTATCTTGTTCTTTCATTTGAGATTTGTTTTTTTGTTTCACCATTTTGGATGTCTCAGTGGGTTTTGGAGCCTGCCCAATTTTTCCTGTGGGTGTTGGAGTTCCACTGGTTGTGGCTCCCTCTACTGGGTTTGGATTAATATGGGAGGACCCACGTTAACACCAGTGTCAAGTCTTAGTTTCTTGGGTAGATTTTCCAGCCCAGGAAAGGTTCAGTTATCCTCTACCATTTTGCCTAGAAGCTATTAGTCTCAGTTACCTGATGAGCCTTGGGTTGTAGCCTTCAATTAAATGAAAAAGTCCCTCAGGTGTTCAGGGTAATTGGATTTCCAGAGCGTGGGACAGATGTCTATTGGCTGTTAATGAGCCTCAATTTGCATTTCTATGACCTGGCCAGGTGTTGTTAAATTCCTGAGGGAGGGGCTGTTGCTTCTCCCCAGGGCTCTGGGAAGCGGCTCTTTGAGTAAGAGGCTACTGTCCTGTGAAGGCATGTTTCAGCAAAAACTCTCAGTGCCCTCCAAATCCCAAGTCTCTCCACACAGTTCCAGTCCAGTCCACCCTCTTTCTCCCAGAGCCCAAGGTGAGTGGCTGTAGCTAACTTAGTGCTCTGTCCCAGCCCTCTGCACTGTGGAGCATGCTTGGGATTTTAGCCCCAAGGAAGTTGCTCTCAGATAAAACAGCTGCTGTCTGAGAGCCTCTGCACTGTGGGCTCTCAGCTCACCCTTTCACACCTCCACAGTTCCTACCAGGCTTGATTTAGTGTCCTCTTTCTGTCCCTGGTATACGGGTCCTCTCCAGCTACTTTTCTGTTGGTTTTTCCCAATGATTTGTCTTTTAGTTGTAATTCCAGTTTGGTTCTGGGAGATGGTCTGTGTAGCTTCCATTTACTCCGCCACCATTTTGGACTGGGCTAAAATTTCTCCTCTGTGGTGTCTCTGTTTCATTTCTTCCAAGTGAAATATGATAGATTTCACATTCGTTGGGAGGACTGAGTTGCTGTTTTGAACCTCTGCCCTAATTAGGGTCATATGGGAGGCAGCCAATCAATGTGTCTCTTTCACATCCATGTTTCTCTCCCCCGACACACACTAAAAATTACTCTGACACTCAGTTTTTAATCTGACACCTGTACAGAAGGATAAAGATATGCTTATAGTAGTGAGAATTAAATGAGTTGATGTTCCATTGTAATGTAGCATATGCTTTCCTAAAATCTCTCTCTCTGCAAAAACATCTACTGAAAGATAAAAGGACTTATGAAAATAAGGAAAAAAAAAACAAAGATTTTAAGCATACTGTGCAGTAGCTAAGCTGAGGGCCTTTCTCTTTCCTGTTGCAACTTTTAATACCTATTTAACTATTCTAAGTACTCCTTGTCTAGGAAAAGTCATATGAACAAACATAACTATTCTTTATACTGACATAATTCTCAACAAATTATAAGCTTCTAGTGTTATAAAACAAGTGTTACAAAACAGACTAAATACCAAGTGACTTAGGAAACAATTCATATATATGTGTGTGTGTGTGTGTGTATTTATTTTATGTATATATAAATATAAATTATTAAAGGCTTAATTTTCCTTTGCTTCTTGATTAATTCTTTGGAAGCCATAGAGACTCAATACTAGAAAGAAAATTATTTCCTTTCTTGTTCCAAGAGAACATAACTTAGCCTGAGAAAAAGGGATACATGTATAGGACTTCATTCTTTTCATATATTAACCTCTTTAAGCAGGTGTAAGATTAAAATATTTTATCACCAGTGTGGCCTTGGGACCCATCAATCAGAAAGCTGCTGTGGCCTAGAGCTGGCAGTGCCAGGGAGGGTCCTTCTAGCTAGGTGTAGTCTCTTTAATTTCCTGGGATTACAGGCAGGTCCCAGGTATTCCGAGATGAGGGTTGGAGTGGTAGCTGAAGCTGAGTAGGGGTGTAGTATTGGCAAGATGCAGGATTGTGTGTGTTTAAAATAAGCTTTAAAATGTAATTTTCATTTTCCATTAGCTATGTTTCTTTAGATTTCTAGTTACATCTATGCTCATTACACACAGAAACAATTGCTATCTGTCTGGCTCAGGGAGGTTCACAGGCTATTCAGATCCATTACAGAAAAGACAGGTTTACCTTCCAGGAGCATCCCCTTTCTCATCAAACCACACTTCCTCTCCAGACACACCAACAAACGTGGACTTGATGAGGAAGTCCAGGAGTTTTCTGCCATCAATAGGCTTCATGGCGTCGCAGAGTCCCACGTGGCCAGGGCAGAGGGCATGGTGCATATTCTGCAGCCCGTGTGCCATGGCATAGATGGCATTGATGACAAAGCCCATCTTACTGTCCTGGACATAGTTTTCTTCTAAGCTTTCATTGCCTGTAACATAAAAACAGATCATTGCAGTAATGGAGTCCAGGCCTGCAGGTGGAATTCTCAAACACTTTTCAAGGCTCTCGGAGGAAGGGAAAGCCAAGCTCACCTGGTTGAGCTTTGTGACTAGCTCTAGTATATTCTGTCTGCAAATAGTTTATTCAGTTTTGTTTTCTCATTTCAATAATGGTTTTATAACATATATACAGACTCCATAGAGGGGAAAATTAAAAAAAAAATCAACTTTCAAATATTGCAAAGAAATCCTTAAGGAGCAATAGGCAGAACTCTTATTACCTCTTGGTTCATGGAGACTTGTATTAAAATTCTGCCTATATTACAGTACTGGAAAAATATTTTGGATATCCTCTATAAAAATCCACAATTCATATTAAATCAATTTGTGCATTATCAAAACCCTGATATCTTCTTTGGGTGATCTCTAGGGCCACAAGAACCCAGAGCAAAAAGAACTAGATAGTATGAATCTCTTCTTACATATGACTGTCAATACAAAAATATTTGAATCAGATTTGTTAATGATTAGAAATTCAGGTAAAGTGTTTCTTGATGGGAGAGTCATATTACACATTTTAGCCTTTAGCTTTTACCAGTGAATTTCTAAAACCCTGCAAACATTTCTACCAATGGCATAGGTGATCAAAGGTTCCCCATTTGCCAAGTAGTTTCACAAGAACAGTATTGCATTATATATGAGCTCCACAGCACAAGTCTAAATTTCAACACATATGGATGAGAAATTCAGGGACCAATTGGGTTTGCTGAAAGAAAAGTAACAGGTTTGGAAAGCGAAATCGATTTGGAATACACCACTGGCACATTTCAGAGATTTTATATGTAATTCCAGAAATTTACTTCTCTCTGTTGTGGGCTTCCCCTTCCCTCCTTGATGGATAGTGAGGGGTCTATGCGAGGTGTGACCCAGGTGCTAGAAGCTGGGAAAGTTAATCTGCACGTGGGATGGAGAACAACATGAGGCTTCTGGCACCCTGGCTAGCTGACCTCTTTGTCCCAGCCTAAATAGGTCACTAGTCAGTAAGGATCGGAGAGTAGCATAAGGTATTAATTAAGTTACAGAGCTTGGAGTGGTTAGAAGAAATGGTAAAGAACTTTGACTTTATTTCTGAACTTGAGATGAAATAAGACATTTCTAAAGAATTCTATTTAAAGGCTAATCTAGATAAGACATAGGTGTGTCTGTCCAAGAGTGAGATACAAAATACCCAGACCAGGTTGAAGAGAGGGAACAATTTCAATTTCAACCCACCTTCAGCCATTGTTTAATAAGAAATTGTTAAAAGAGTAATTTCCTAAAGTATTCTTTTTCTGATTGAGAAAAGGACATTTTCTGAGAGCAAATGAAGAGTAAGAGAGGCAGAAAGGGAATTTTAAAACCAAACCATACAAAATAAGTATGGAAAGTTCTGTAAAACGGAAAGCAAATGCCCTAAAACTGTCAAGTTACTGAAATAGGGTAATTTACATCTGTCACCCAGAACCCTGTTTGCTTTCTGTCTCTTCTATATTGGGATCTAACAGAGATAAATTGATACCCCGTGTTTGATCAATTTTCAACAAGCCTTTCAAGACTGCCAAAACCTTCAAGTGCTGGAGCTAAATATTAAAGCTAATAGAATTAGATAAATTAGCTGGACTCAAGGAAAGAAGGAAAAAAATAGACAAAAATCGAGTGACAAAATAATCTTCAATGCAGCAAGCAGCCCCTTCAAGGGTTCTAGTCAATACTAAACCATCCACTTGAAGTTGCAGCTATTAATGTCAAGCCAGGAGCAAAGTTTAAGAAAATATGAGACTAAACACATGGAGTTCTTTACCAAATGGAAAATTCTCTATTTTGGACAAGCCTAAGGACACTGAGTTGGTTTTTGTTTTTGCTTTGATAACTGCTATTAAAGAAGTATTATATATTTAAAAAATTATGTTGGTGTCCCCAGTACAGATTTCCTAAGCCATGGTTGTCTAGTGGATGTGTTACTCATAAGCACTGAGGCTAATAGTTCTTGGCTTTGTCTGAGATCAGTTTTCCTTTTGATCCTTATTAAGGGTGATCACATAACTTAATGTTCAAACTGGATCACCTTTGAAAGTGGAGTGAGTGATAATTATTTTTGAAACACAGGAGTAAACAAGGCAAATTAGTCAAATGGTGATATGTCGTTTGAACCCTCTAACTACCGCTTTATTGATGTTATTATGGGTGATATTTCTATCTATCTATATCATATATGTAATGACATATAACAACATTCACAACACATGTAACTATATGTATATATATACTACATAAACAGTAATCAGTAGAATATTACTAATTTTCACAATTTTATATTTATCTGACTTTAATGAGAAAGTAACACATCAGTAATAATACTAGCTACTATTTTTGTTTTTGTTATATACAACACTCACATCCTGAGTTCACAATAATTCTGCCAAATAGAAGTAGCAGGATACAAAATTAACGTCAAGAAATCGACGGCATTCTTGTACACCAATGATGAACTCACAGAAAGAGAAACTGAAAAAACAATTCCATTTACCATCGCGGCAAAAAAATTACGAAACCTAGGAATAAACTTAACCAAAGAAGTAAAGGACCTATTTGCAGAAAACTACAGGTCATTGAAAAAAGAAATAGAGGAAGATATAAAAAAGTGGAAGCACATACCCTGTTCATGGATTGGAAGAATTAACATCATTAAAATGTCCATACTACCCAAAGCAATCTATAGATTCAATGCAATCCCCATCAAAATACCAACGACATATTTCATAGAACTAGAACAAATACTTCAAAAGTTCATATGGAACCAAAAAAGACCCCAAATAGCCACAGCAATCTTGAAAAAAAAGAACAAAGTAGGTGGGATCACAATACCAGATATTAGGTTATACTACAAAGCTACTGTAACCAAAACAGCCTGGTACTGGCACAAGAACAGGCATATAGACCAGTGGAACAGAACTGAAAACCCAGAAATGGACCCAAGGCAATACGCTCAATTAATATTTGACAAAGGTGGCAAGAGCATACAGTGGAGTAAAGACAGCCTCTTTAATAAATGGTGTTGGGAAAATTGGACAGCTACATGCAAGAAAATGAAACTAGACCATCAACTTACACCATACACAAAAATAAACTCAAAATGGATAAAAGACTTAAATGTGACCCGTGAATCCATAAAAATTCTAGAAGAAAATGTAGGCAACAAAATTTCGGACATCATACGGAGCAGAATTTTCACTGATACATCACCTAAGGCAACAGAAACAAAGGAAAAAATGAACACCTGGGACTACATCAAACTCAAAAGCTTCTGCACAGCAAAAGAAACAATCATCAAAATGGAAAGGCACCCCACTGTATGGGAGAACATCATTGCCAATGATGTATCAGATAAGGGGTTAATTTCCAATATATATAGAGTGCTCATACAACTCAACAAAAGGAAGACAAAGAACCCAATTAAAAAATGGGCAGAGGAGCTGAATAGACACCTCTCCAAACAGGACATACAAATGGCCAAGAGACATATGAAGAAATGCTCAACATCACTAATCATCAGAGAGATGCAAATTAAAACAACAATGAGGTATCACCTCACACCTGTCAGAATGGCCGCCATCAACAAATCATCAAACAACAAGTGTTGGCGAGGGTGTGGAGAAAAGGGGACTCTAATACACTGCTGGTGGGAATGCAGACTGGTGCAGCCGCTATGGAAAACAATATGGTGCTACCTCAAAAAATTAAAAATTGAACTTCCATTTGACCCAGTGATTCCACTGCTGGGAATATACCCTAAGAAGCCTGAAACACCAATCAGGAAGAATATATGTACCCCCATGTCCATAACAGCACTATTTACAATTGCTAACATCTGGAAACAGCCCAAGTGTCCCCCAGTAGAACAATGGATAAAAAAGCAGTGGTACATATACACAATGGAGTACTATGCAGCGGTAAGAAAGAAAGATCTCTTATCCTTTGAGACGACATGGAGGGACCTGGAAAGTATTATCCTAAGTGAAAGAAGCCAAGCAGAAAAAGACAAATACCACATGATCTCACTTATATACGGAATATAATGAACATAACAGTCTGAGGAATACAGTAGACCCAGAAACATGAAAGTAGGGCACAGACTGACATCCCTCAGAAGAGGGGGTGGGGGGATAGGAAGAGATAAACCACAGAACTTATATGCATGTATGCATGACCAATGGACATGGACAACTAAGCCGGGGACGGGGCGGAGGTGGGGTGGGGTGGGGGGTGCCAATGGGGTAAAAAGGTAAAATATCTGTAACAAAAAAATAAATAAAAATTCATAAAAAAATAAATAAATAAAAATTCTGCCAAGTAGACATTCATCTTGCCATTCACAAGTGAGGGAAGAGGGGTGGCATCCAGATGCCCCCTTGACCCTTGAAGTTTCTGTTTCACTCACAGCAATACAGGTGCAGGCAGGGAAATCTACAGAGGACAGGGCATCCTGCTGTCACCAGGATCACTGTCGGCCTGGTTTGGGGTTTCTCCCTGGGACTGTTCCAGATGTGCACAGCTGTCTCTCTGACTAGCAGCACTGGTGTGCAACCTATCAAGAGCAAACTATGGCAAAGAAGCCCATCCTGTCAGTATTTGTCCTACAGACAGCTGCGAGGCCAGGCACATGTTTCCAGGGAATATTTGTAACTCACACCATTCCTCAGATAAACACATAGAGCTTATGTGTTTGCCAGTCTGAAGTGAGCCTGTGCCCTGCCCTGCCCTGCCCTGCCCGTCCACTGCACCCCACCTGAGGAGGATGCTGCCATCAGTAAGAACTTCCTCTTCAGCTACCGCCCAGCTCAGTGGGAACTGACATTTGGGAATTCGTGAGAGTCAGAAAGTCATCCAGCCTTTACAGGACCGTTCTCTTCCCATAGGAACTGTCCCAGGTGATGCTGCAAGGATCAATCAT